ACAAGAAGGTGCAAATAGTTGCTCTAATGGAGGTTAGCATCAGCCATGTTTTGTGGGGATCAAGTTTGGAGATGATAGCAGAAACCTTGGACAGAGTTATATGAATATCACACAGTATAGTCTCAGTTCTAAATGAAAAGTCAGGGGCAGAATTAGAAGAGAATTTATGAACAAAGCATTCTGCTTTATTAGTAAATGATAACACTCCACATTGATTGAAGAGAAGAGAGATTGAGGATTTATTCTTATTTAACATGCTCTTACAGAGCCACCAGTAGTACGAAAACCAAACTTGCAAGAGGCTATATAGTGCTTATCAATGAACAGTGACTTAGGACAATTTTGCACTTATTACGAGTGGACACAGAGGTGTCTGTTGTGATCAGAGCTGTCAGGTTGGTATATCTGGAGAAAGTGATTTCTGTTGGTTATATTGACTGAGCATGCAGATGTGAATGATGGAGAAGGTTGTAGTGTTATCTGGTATTTACAAGAAAGCACAGAAGCTTCAATGCTGGCTTTCACACAAGGAGAAAACTTCAGAGGCATAATTTTCAGTTTCACTCCAAGGGGCATTTCAAAGAAAATAACAAAATAAATCCCAATCAATTTCAATTAGAAGAAAGAAGTCTTGTGAATAGGGGGTTCATGCCTAATAGACAAGTGAAATGAATGTATACAGTGTGATCCAAGTTGCCAAGAGAACAGAGTTACAATACACAACAGCAGTCAGGAGAGAAGGTACAGAACAAAACAAGTAGAGAGGTTTGTTGGTCAGAGTTATAAGGGAAACAAGTAGGGAAGTCAGAGATTTGACAGAGAGATTTAAGAGATTTACAGATGAATTAAGTTTGAATACTGTCAACATCAGTTGTATTAGAATGATTGATCAACTTGAAGTGGTGAGCATTAAAATCACCAAACACAAAGATTTTTCTGTCTATATTTCTGAGATGAGGTATTGTGACTATTTACATTGTTCAGAAAGGGAATTAACTGATACTGTGATATCCAAAAATGGCACGGCACATGGAATTAGAACAATCTACCCCCATAAACTAAATAAAGGGTCAGGTTTAAAATTCCAGCGTATATCCCCTAAAGTTCAGAGTATTCAATGACCAATACATTGTGAATATGGCAATAAAGATGAGGACAACAGTCTGAACAATGTAAATAGTGTAAATACAAAGATGTTTGCAGCTGAATGTAAAGAGCTATTTCTATACTGTCAGATATTTTGTATAACACACTATAGTCCTCAGTAGAAGAGAAGTGATAAAAGAAAAAAGATAGCTAACAGAATGTAATAATGAAAACACATGGAAGAACCATCTAGGTATTCAAGAGATAATTTGCTTGCCAGTGGAAAATTTTCCCAAATATAAACTCCAAAGCCATGCATGTATACCCTAGAATCTTTTATTTCCATGGCTACTGTTCTGTCAAGCTTTTTTCCCCTGGTGCATTGACTACATAAATTTAAGCGTGCTACTAGATGAGCACCTGAGTCACACCCTTTTACCATTGAAATAATTAAATGTAACAGACACTTCTACTCCAACAGCTTCTTTTCTCACACTTCCCGCCTGTGGAATTCCCTTCTGTTTACTTGCTTCCTTGATAATTACAATCTTCAAAAATTTAAATGCATTGTTAATCACCATCTTCTGATGTCTTGAACCCCCATTTATCTTTCATCCTTTCCTCATTCCTCCTATACAGTTTTTCTCTGACCTTCATTCTATGTAACCCCTTGCAAACCAGTGTCTAATAATAAGAAGAATAAGAAGAAGAAGAATAAGAAGAAGAAGAATAATAATAAGAAGAATAATAATAATAAGAATAATAATAATAAGAATAATAATAAGAAGAATAATAATAAGAAGAATAATAATAAGAAGAATAATAATAAGAAGAATAATAATAAGAAGAATAATAATAAGAAGAAGACAGTGTAACCCGGATATAAGAGAAACCCGGATGTAAGAGAGATTTTCTCTGATCCCAAATTAGAGCCTATGTTAATGTATATAAAATAGACCAAACCCGGATATAAGAGAAACCTGGATATAAGAGACTTCTTCTCCGGTCCCGACAACTCTCTTATATCCGGGTTACACTGTAATAATAATAATAAGAATAAGAAAAATAGGAATAAAGAGAATAATAATAATAATAATAATAATAATAACAATAATAATGATAATAATGATAATAATCAGCAACAACAACAACCCCATCCCGCTCCCCCGGAAAAGAGAATTCAGTGGTAGAGATAAAAGAGTTTAAATTAGTTCCATTGAGCACTCGAGCTTTTTTTTTTTTAAATTCTCTAATTTTCTTTTCATGTAACCTAAAGCATTATACATACATGTGTTAGAGTAAAGCATAAAGTATTATTTCATCATAAACCTAAGAGTAGAAATATAGAGTTGTTTTTTTGGGGTTTTTTTTTTTTTATTTCCACAATTGTGAAAGAATTAATGTTTATTTTCTTTCCTATCATGAATATTCAAGTCTAGCAAAGATCAAATATATTCAATGCTTGGCAATAGTTTTACTATATTACTGTATTTAATCTAATCCCCTTTCTTTTGTTACATTTCAAAGTGGTTAGGACATTAGCTTTACAACCATGAGATCTGAATTTGAATCTCACTATGGTCAATTTGTAATGGAGGTGATAATATCAACCTCGGGAGATGATCTGTGTGTGGCACTATTGGGAAGATGCCAAAAATCAAGCCATGGGTTGAACGAAGCATTGTTAAAAGAATGTGGAGAGATGGAATTGTTCAGAAGCTGTTGATGGTTACGCGAGCATAAAGTCACAAATCAATAACTGAGCTCGTTCAACATTATGTACTCTCTTCCAGAAACCATAACTATGTCCTGCTTGACATTAGTTATAGTAAAAGCCACAGTGACCAAGCAGGAATTAGTTAGCCACTCTAGTAAACTCCACAGTCTTCCAAGACTAACAGATACTTATTTCCATAAATACAACATTTTTTACGAGCTAACAAGTTCATCTAGTCACATTTTTCTCCATTCTGTGGGCTTACAGTCATATCACATCAAGACACTGGTTCTTGTACAATCACCAAAGTTAAGCAATGTCAAGTATGTGCTATAAGCTTGGATGTGTGGGTGGTGTAATGAATAACAGCTCAGAATTGGAAATTGGAGAGTCAAGTTCCAATTCCACTTGGCTTCATTATATTCAGTTACATACAAATATGATCGATTTGTTTGTTTGTTTGTTTAATGGCATATCAACTCCTTATGGGTCATTTAATGCTGAAACTGAATTTTCTTGGGAGCTTCGAAGTAATAAAAATGTTAATTTTGCTTTCACAATTGAATACATGCATATGTACTCAGCTTTTGTACATATACATATTTGTGTAGACATAATTACTAGATGTGGTGATATGTGTGTTTTATGTTGTAGTTTTGTTGAAGTCATATTTTGGAATACATTTTGATTTAAGAAATTGTAGGATATTATATGGATTAACGTCATGTTCATGCTGGTTGTTTGGTAGTATTTTAAATGGATTTGGTTCAAGTTGCCACAATTTGCTATTATGTGTGTATTGTTGGTAATTTTACTATAAATATGTATTGCTGGTAATTTCTTTTATATAAAAATGTATTGCTGGTATTTTTATACTTTCATAGTGTTTTGTTTGGGGAGGGGTCACTATTTGCGAATAGCTGGGACCCTAACAATTGCTAACCCAATAAAGGTGGACCTGGGAACAACAGCAATTAAGAGGTGGTTCCATTCTCCTTGAAGCCTCCAATCTCCCAATCAGAAGCCTTGCTGCCAGATATAATTTATCATCATATCCAGGAATATACACACAAATACCCTTGGGAAAGGTATGAATCTATTTCTTCTAAAGCTATAGGTTAATTAATAGGACTTGTATCAGTATGTCATTATTATCATACAAAAATTCTAGAAATATTTTCTGATTTTAAATAACCTGCAAAAAAGTTGATAATCTGTAGAAAACAAATCAATCAATCAATCCACTGTGTGCACACAATAAATAAGATCAGTTCTAGAAAGATCATTTATAGTGCAGTTAAAGTCAAGTATAGGAGAGGAATTTTCCTTCTGAATTCTAAAGTTAAAGAAAAACAAGAAACTAGTAACAGTAACAATATGAGACATGAAAATAAATTCCAATTCATCAATATTTAACAATTGAAAGAAGTAACAGACTAATAAGAGTAACAGACTAATATTATGTTTCAGTGAAAATGAAAATCTTTACGACTTATTTTCTCTTTAGGGGTTGATGGATTTATTTTTTTATGACTTATCAATCTTTTATTTAAAGCTAAAAATATATTTTTTTGATGGTAAGAATAATTATTTAAATATTTTTTTCTAAGTGAATATTGTATTAATAATTTTTTGACAACAACAATGATTTTTCCAGATACAAGTCTTACTATTTAGCCTGGTGGAGGAGGGGAGAATTACAAAACATTATTCATCTCAGTAACAGATCATTACATCGTGAAGGAAGAATCAAAACATCCCATAATGTCTACAGATAACATCAAGATTCCTTGGGTATTTTTTAAAAGCCCACATTAAAAAAAGCAACTTGTTTATTATGTAAGAATTAGCAAGGAAAATAGTTACTTTGGAAACCACTATCTATAATATATAGAAAAAAATGGGACCAATATTCAGAGAACTTAAAAAGATTATTTGGTTACTTATTTTAATTCATCATTTTACTTACAATTATTGACACATGATGCAAACAATAGTCAGGGCATTATTTAAACAAATTAGCCGTAATTCATCAAAAATGCTTTTTTAGAAATGTTTGTCACTTATATTATTGCTAACTATTAAATCTATTGTTTTTTTTACATTTATATAAGTAGTAAAGTAATTGTTCTAAGTAATGCAGTTAATCAAAATAAGTGCTGCATAATTTGTTGTGAAAAAAATAGAAAACACTCACCTCTCTCAGAGTTGCCAGGGTCTTTTTGTTGATAAGCAGTTGTTGTTGCAAATCTTTGTTCTCTTTTTCAAATTCATGCATCTTTTCAATACTGTCTTTACTCTTTTCATGTAGTTTCTTTAAGTTTTTGTGTTCCATGTCCAATGCACTGTGCTTGGATGTCAGACCATCAAGGTGGGCTTCAGTTGCTTCAAGGACATGCTTTAGCTTTTTGTTCTCCTTCTCTAGTGTTGATTTGTCCTTACTCAGTTTGTTCACCTCATTTTCCAGCTCTTTGTTTTCCTCCTCTTTGTTCTCAAATTTTTTGCAGGAGATTTTGAGCGTCTCAATAGAAACCTGAAGCTTCTCGTTTTCAACCTCCAGGTCATTGTTGTCCTGCTCGAGCTGGTGGAGACGGCGTGAAGTCATCTCTAATGTCTTTTGCAGCTTCAGGTTCTCATTATCCATGTCCAGAATGTCCATCTCCATCTGCTCATATTTGACCCGCTCAATCCGCTGTGACTCAATAGTCTTCTTTAGTTGCTGGATTTCACGATTCAGCTCGTCCTTCTCATGTTCCAATTCTAAAACTTTATCAGTGGCACCTTTTAATGACTCTAGAGTCTTCTGCAGTTTCTGATTTTCGACGGTCAATGAAATATGTTCCTCAATTAACATCTCTTGTTTGGAGAGTGACACTTGCAGGCTCTCAATTGTCTTACTCAATTTCTTGTTCTCAATCTCCAAACGTGAATTGTTCTGTTCGGTGTTTTCGTATTTATCACAGGCCAATTTAAGTGTACTCACAGCATTCTTCAGGTCAGCATTTCGCCGTTCTAGACTCATGTTTGCATTTTCAACTTCTGTCAGTCGGTCAGCGGAGGCTTTCAACCGGTCACACGATTTTTTCATTTGTTGATTTTCAAAGTCTAATTTTGAACATTTTGACGTAAACTCTGAAATCTTGTCATGCAGCTTCTTGTTTTCAGATTCTAATTCTTTTAATCTTGTGTCGTTTGTCTTCTCATTTCTGTCTCTCAGCGCTGTAATTGTCTCTGCCAAGTGTTCCTTCTCACGTTTCACTTCGTTCAGCTGCCGTTCAGTATTCTCCTTCACTGTCTCAACCATTTGTAACATTTTGTCCTTATCTTCCTCAAACATTTTTGACTTTTGTTCAAGGTCTATGCACTTATCGGACTGAGACTTCATCTCTTCTTGTAGGGACTCAACTTTCTTTGCTAGACGTTTATTCTCTTTCTCCAGTTCTGTGTTCAGTGCACTGCTTTCTATCAGGGAGGTATCACGCAACTCATCCAGTTTCTGTTGCAGTCGCTGGTTTTCAAGCTCCAGACGCAACACTTTTGTGTTGGAAGTTTCACTCAGTTGATCAGACAAGCTGATACCTAGAATAATAGATTAAAAAAAAAAAAATCAAGGTTAATTTTCATAGTTTATACGTGCATGACAACATTAGTATCTGTTTATATTTCAGAGATGAGCTATTATGTACACTATTTACATTATTCGGACTATTGTCCTCATCTTTGTCACTATATTTGTTGCCAAGGACACATGGTACAGTGGATAAAGGCATTAGTTAGATCCAGTGATAGGTCCCAAAAGAGTGTGAGTTCAATACCTGGTTAAGGTGGTGGAGAACTTGGTGAGGGGAATTAATAGGAGATAACTGATAATTGACATCCATTAGACATGGCATGTGGAACTAGAACAGTCTACCCCAGTGAGCAAAATAAAGGGTTCAGTTTGACATTCCTACCATTTTAAGAAGGTTGGAGCGTACAACGGCAGGAACATTGTAATAAATATGACGACACAGATGAGGACAATAGTCCGAATAATGTAAATAGTGATGAGAACATTAATCTAACACATTTGCTCGAGTCATTAACCTTTAAATAGCAAGCATCATTAATTGAGGTTTCATTTGAGATCAGCAGATATTGAAGATTCAAGCTTTTTCCAGTGATACAGGCATCATTTGATAATTTAAATCTGAATAACCAATTGGTGACTCAAGGGTTCATAAATTTACTATTTACTAAGATTCATGAGGTTATATAATATTGTGGAGTATTTGCCAGTAAATAAAGCTGGGAGAACAAGCTACAGTGTGCTATGGCTGTATGTATATTTCCCAAAGAGAAAAGAGGGGAAAAAAAAAAGAAAAAAAAAAAGACAATTTGGTGTAAAGAAGGTATAGCTCCATTAAGCATGAAATGTGTCAAGGAATCAGTTAATTGCCATACATGATACATGATTGGGTGATTATGTCTCATTTAATTTATGACTGACTAGGCAGAAGATTTTCTTGCAGTAGATTGTTTCATTCTGCGGTAGACTGGTTGCCAACCAAGGCTATAGAACCCAGTCTGTTCTGCAATTACACTCACAGCTGGTGGCGGGTAGCTGAAGAGATAGATTCATATCTTTCTCAAGGATATGCGCACATAAGTGAATGTAATGAACCTGACTGGAATTTGAACCCAGCTCTTTGATTTCTCATTTGGAGCCAATATCCATTACACCATAACAAGTATCATCAGTCAGTTATGTGCCAGGCGTAAAACATGCTTAGGTATCTTTTGATACATGACTGATGAGGCAGATTTTTTTCTCGCAGTAGGCTGCCATTTCTTTCTGCGGTAGACCAGTTGCCATCCAAGGCTATAGAACCCGGTCTGTCATGCTATTTACCCATAGCTAGGGGGAGAAGAAAAGGAGGATTCATACCTTTCCCCAAGGGTATTAGCATGTAAGTGAATGTAATGGATTCAACTGGAATTTGAATTCAGCTCTGATTCCTCAATATGAGCCGCTATCCATTACTCCACTGTATCATACATGATAAGTGATATCATGTGTCGTACTTTTATAAAATATTAAATTTAGGAATATAAAATTTATTTTCCTTTTTCTTTACTTTATAATATAGAAAAGTTCAAATATAATGTTTTTTTTAAAAAAATCATGAATTTTCTTTACTTTTTTTTTTTTTTTTACTACATGTTTGGTGTGCAATTTCTTCTCACTATTTAAGGATTAAAAGAGATGTCAGGCTATTTTTATTCATTACTAGCAGTAGAGCCCAGTATCGACCATCATAAAGACTAAAAAATAAAATTGACAAAGATTATTGCTCAAGGTTGACGGACACGCATGTCTTAATTATTTTTTTTTTTTTATGAATTGGTCAAACCCAACCTCAAAGAAAAACATTGTTTTCAATCATTATGAGTCTACCGATTGAATAGAATTTTATTATAAACAATTGTCTTGTAAATGGAATTTTTAAAGCATTCTGAATGTAAAAATAAAGAAAAAAGTGTGCAAGACAATAAGAAACACTACCTGCCAAAAAAAGAAAAAAAAAAGAAAAGTGAAGTTTTGTTGAAATCGGTTGAAAAATGTAGGAAATCCGATCCCATATATAAATGAACACACACAAACAACCTGGATTTTATGATAAGTATAACTCGATATGAGTTGTCCCCCTTTCATTCCACGAAAGTGATGCCTCTTAATCGTTTTTCAAATTGATTTTGTGCAAAAGTAATTGCGCTTTCCTAATTTTTGGCACTGTCAGAACCACCGCAAGGTAATTTTACATAGTCCTGTGAAGTTTTGTTGAAATTGGTTGAAAAATGTAGGAAATCCGATCCAATATATAAACGTACAGACACACACACACACAACAACCACCTGGGGTTTATAATAAGTATGATTAAAAATATTTTTATATTTATCATTAAAAATATATTTATAGAACATTGCTTCCACTTAAATTTTACCTAAGTTTTGACAGTGGTAATATTTTTCTCATTTTATTTATCAATAATATTTATTTGCTCTTTTAATGTTGATACATAATGCAAAAGATTTTGTTTTTTTTAGTTTTTTTTGGGGGGGGTGATCAACGTTAATACTCTTTCAAGTTATGATCACTGCTTATGCTTAGTTATTTAGGTAATTTGATTTACAATTTTATATTTAAATTGAAAAAGACATATTCATAAGATTATTCACCTTTTAGAATTTCATTTTTTTTAATATTTTTAATTTTTTTTTTCAAGTGTCATGTCCACTCAGGATGTAAGTAATTATAACTCTCCACAGATTCCTTATCTGTGGGTAGCCATCTTTTTGTGGGGGGGAAAATAGTGAAGTAATTTCCCCCTGCCTTCCCTACAGTTTGGAATTTATAGTTTCTGTCTCTTAGACTGATTACCATTCAAAGCTAAAAAGCTCAATCTACCTTTCCATAGCTGAGGAAAGAAGAGAATCATGCTTTTTTTAGGGGCATTTGAGTGAAAATGAATGTAACAGACTAAGAATTTGAATTTGACACCAATTCCACTTGCCATGCTGATATTCTGTTACACTAACCACCCATCCAATATTTATAATACAATTTTATAATTTTTTTCTGTTTTAATTAGAAAAATAGATAACAATTTCACTGTTATAAGTTAAAAGAATTCAACAATTAACAGAGTTTGATTGTCCTCCTAAAGACAACTAAACTTCAAAAGTTACCTTCACATATCCACATAAACTGTGCCTTTTACCACGAGTGGCTCTCGGGCCATGAACAGGGTGAAGAACATTGTTAAAAAAACCCAAAAAAAACAAACATTTTAAAAGCTTTCTTCTACTGTAATTATCTCAATTTTAGGCATTGATTAGAGGGAGATAACTCATGGTTTAATTCTAAATGGAATCAAAATAAACGGAGGCCGACCAGTCATAATTACAGGGTCATCATTATAAACGTCACGATCCTTTTATTAGTTGTACAATATATGCTTCAACAGGGCTACACACAATTTGAATTCAGTGTTGACTTCTCCTAGACTGGTTGCTACTCAAGGCTGAAGAAACTAGTCTGCCCTACTATTTAAACCATAGCTGGGGAGATTCACAGAGAGATAGATTCATACCTTTCTCAAGTGTATTTGCACATAAATGAATGTAATGAACTCAACTTTCGAACTTGGCTCTCTCATATCTCATTCTGAGCTACTATCCATTACACCACACATACATCCACTTAATGGAAAGAAGAAAAGAAAAAAAAAATCACAATGTCTTAGAAGAGTAAATAGCATATTGTTAAATGGAAGATTATCTTCTACTATATATCAGGATAAAAATTCTCTCAGTTTTTATGTCTGGTCTATTAAAGACCCGAGTCAATTTTTTCTCTGTTGTATAATATTTGAAGCCACTGTCTTGTTTTTTTTCAAGAAAACAAAAAAAAAAAAACAAAAAAAAACAAACAAACAAACCTACAAATAGATCCATAGAGAAATTGTTTATTTCTGATGAAACTTAAATAAAAGCAAAATGTTAAATTTATAAACATTTCCTATTTGTTCCTTATCCTAACATTATGTCGTATTCTGATCCATATTTGATCACAATTCACATGAAAGAAAGACAGAAATGTATATAGAGGTTGAGTATCTTTTATCCAAAAGTTTTTCAAATGCTGACATGACTTGCCACGAATAAAAAACTTAAGAAAGTCCGGCCGCTTACCCTACATTGGTGCCAGTTTTTTGTCAGTGGTCATCACAGAAACTCCTTCGTTCATGGATTACTTACCAGGCGATTTGTACACAGTAAAGATATTACTTAAAATGTCAAAAAGTCCTGCATTTATATATTTTTTGTAAGTAATTTTACCACTTAAAAATCTATGTAAGTATTACATGACTAGTGTCATTACATGTATCTGTATGTACACAAAATTTATTAAATTGTATTTAAAATTATCTTCAGGGTATATGTCATTTATATAAAACTACCTCCAGGGTATATGTTATTTATATAAAACTACCTCCAGGGTATATGTTATTTATATAAAACTACCTCCAGGGTATATGTTATTTATATAAAGCAATATTTTGTTTATACTTGGGCTCCATTCCCAAGCTGCCTCATTTTATAGATACTATATACAAATTAAAAAGCCTGTATTCCAAAATCTGAAAACTGAAGCTCTCCTGGTTCTAAGAATTTCGGATAAAGGATTCTCAACCTGTATTATAAAAATATATTAAATAGTTGATATATACAAAAAATAAAGATTATGACTGAACAAAACTTACCACTTGTCCTTGCATGAGCTTCTTCCAATTCCTGCTCGAGGGTTGTGCTTTCTTGGAGTCTGTTTTTTTTCTCAAATTCCAACAAGGCATTTTCCTCAGTTAGGACTCGAACTTTTTCTTTTTCTGTATCCAATTGCTGAAAAACAAAATCAATTTAAAAGCTTGCATTAAAATAACCCTAAGATTCAAGGTTAAATTACCTCACCTGTAGCAATGAGATTTTATTTTCCAGTTGGATAAATTTGATCTGGAGTCGTTAAACACCCAGCATCACATACACAACCCATGGCAGAAATTTCTATTATCTACAGTTGAGCCATAGAACTCCAAAGTAAATGGACTAATAACAAAAGAATGATTGAAATTGTATCAAGTTAAGATTCTTAACAGATCTAAAAGGACATTGGAAGCCTCATCATAATGCAAACTTAAAAGTAAAACCATATCTTTTTCTATGAGCCATGTCCCTTCAAGAGATTGTCAGTCATGGCTCTCCACAATTTCCTGATCTTTGTAGCTCTTAATAAATTTTGTCATTTTGTTATCTCTCTTAAAACTTGTTCTGTCATCCATTGACACAAATTTGCACTTTTCCTTCTATATGCCATGTTCTTTCAGGACATTGTCAGTTATGGCTCTCCACAATTTTCTCTCCTTTGTAGCACTTAATAAATTTTGGTTTGGTTTGGTTTACAGAATATCAACCTCATTGGGTTAATTAATGCTGGTAATATTTTTTTTTTTTTTTAAATGTATTCCTGGTAAAAAATTTTCCAAAAAAGTATTGCTGGTATTAAAACCTATTTTTTATATTTTCATAGTGTTTTGACCCTATTTGAAAGGTTAACTATTTGCCCATAGCTAGGACCCTGACAGGTGCTACCACCCCAGGTCAGGGTGGAACTGGGAACACCAGCAATTAAGAGGTGGTTCCACACTCCTCAAAACCTTCTGATCAAAGGTCTTGTTATCAAATGTAGTTTATCATCTTACCCAGGATAAATAAATTTTGTATTTTTGTTTTCTTTTCTAAACCTTGTTCTGCCATCCGTTTATTCAAGTTCACTAGGTAGGTTATGTGTTTTTCTCTGTCCCTCTTACTGCCAGTGTCCTGTGAGTATCAAATTTTCCAAGCCTTCTTTCATATACCCTAGAAAGTTCATCTTTGTCTTCCTGATGTTAAGTATAAGTGTCCTTTAGGTTTCCATTTCCTCCAAAACTTCATCGTTGCTCACATGTTTGGTCCATGGTATACTCAGCATCCTTCTGTAGAAGCATTTCTTCAAGTGTCTTCTTCATCTTTGAGGAGATTATCCAGCATTCATTGATATATAGGAGGACTGATATTATGTAACAGTTCAGTACTCTTTTCTTTGTTTCTAATAGTATTTATCCGTTTCTTAATGGCTTATCATTAGGAATCTTTTGCTATTCCAATGTGCCTTCAAGATTTCAGTGTCACACTTTCCATTCACTTTTAAAAAACTTTCCAAATATTTAAATTTTTGTACTTGTTTCATTTGGTATCTCCAATTTGTACATTGGGTTATTTCTTTTGCTAACAACCATGCATTCTATCTTACAACTGATATTTAGTCCTTTCTTCTTGCTTTCCTTCACTACTTTCAGTAGGAGTTACTGTAGTTTCTTTTCTATGTCTGCTATCAACACTGTGTCATCGACATATCTTATGTTGTTAAGATTGTGGCCACCAATAATGAATCCTGGTAGAATTTTTACTTCTCTCAGAACGGCCTCACTCTATAGGTTGCAAAGCTCTGGCGAGAAGACACATCCTTGTCTTACACCCATTTCTATTTTTACAGAATTAATTTTATAGGTATTTTTATGTTACCTACAAAATGAGAATCTACTGAATTGATTATACTGAAATTTTACACACAAAATTCTCTCACATTTTATTAGATAACCACTTGTTGATGTGGGATATTTTTAAAACTTATAATTTTTCATAAACGATAAAAATAGATCAAAATTTGGAAAATAAACAAAAAGGAAATTTTCCCCCCGATTACTTCATTACATTTGTCTTTGCCTTCCTTTTCCCTTCATTATCTATTATGATAATATTCTTTTTAAAATTGTAAACTCTTTATGGGGTATGAAGCTGCAACATCAAACTAGGTGATATTGCTGTGGCAAATAGGTTTTATGGGATGAAGTTGCCAGCCTTCTAGTCACACATTTTGAATTAAAAGTTGCCTTTCTCCTAAACTGGTTTCCAACCAAGGTGAGAGAACTAGTTTGCTCTGCTATTTTATTGACTAGAAGTTTTTTTGCAACATGCTGACCAGTGTTGAAATACAGTATTTAGTATTGTTCAAGCTATCACTAAGTCAAGATTTACAAAATCTACATTTCATTCAATTTCAAAAACAGTAAATTTCCAAGAATTTTATAGGTTTTTTCCAGGTTAGTAGGACTTATCAATCATCTGGCCCTGATGAGCATTTCAATGTGGAACCCTGGAAATGGTTAACAAGATGTCACTTGAACTTTTCTTAGTTCATATATCTCAGCATCAGGCAATGTAAGCTTTTTCAAGATATAAGTACATCCAATAGTTAACAGTTACTGAGTAGACCTCTCAGATTGTAATAGATAGTTTATGCAGTAATTAGGCATTTAAAGATGGTACCTGAAAACTCTTATGTAGTTCTCCTACTCTATCAAAGTAAGTCTTGCTATTTTGAAACAACCCTTCAATAAATGTCGTTTTTGCACAAAAATAATTTTAAATACATCTCTATAATTTGTAACTATTAAGAACGTCAGTTCTTTTAACAGCTATGAAGAAGTTAGCAACATGTTTGGGTTTAATTGTAACTTTAAATCAGGAGTTAACTTCTTTTTTTTTTGAGGCTCCAAAGAAAAAAAAAGATGCAAGTTCAAAATTTGTCAGGAGATTTTCTTTAATTCTTATCTATGCTGCTTGTTTAGTGGAAATAGAATGTAAAATAAACAGACTTACTATTGTTATAAAAGTAAAAAAAAGAGAAGGGGAAAGAGAAGGGGAAAGAAAAAAAGGAAAAGGAAGAAAAGGAAAAAAAAGGAAGAAAAAGGAAGAAAAGGAAAAAAAAGGAAAAAAAAGGAAAAAAAAGGAAAAAAAAGGAAGAAAAAGGAAGAAAAAGGAAGAAAAAGGAAGAAAAAGGAAGAAAAAGGAAGAAAAAGGAAGAAAAGGAAGAAAAGGAAGAAAAAGGAAGAAAAGGAAAAAAAAGGAAGAAAAGGAAAAAAAAGGAAGAAAAGGAAAAAAAAGGAAAAAAAGGAAGAAAAGGGAAAAAAAGGAAAAAAAAGGAAGAAAAGGGAAAAAAAGGAAGAAAAAGGAAGAAAAGGAAGAAAAGGAGAAAAAGGGAGAAAAGGAGAAAAAGGGAGAAAAGGAGAAAAAGGGAGAAAAGGAGAAAAAGGGAGAAAAGGAGAAAAAGGGAGAAAAGGAGAAAAAGGGAGAAAAGGAGAAAAAGGGAGAAAAGGAGAAAAAAAGAAAAGGAGAAAAGGGAGAAAAGGAGAAAGGAGAAAAGGAGAAAAGGAAAAGGAGAAAAGGAAAAAGGAGAAAAGGAAAAGGAGAAAAGGAAAAGGAGAAAAGGAAAAGGAGAAAAAGGAAAAGGAAAAGGAGAAAAGGAAAAGGAGAAAAAGGAAAAGGAGAAAAAGGAAAAGGAGAAAAAGGAAAAGGAGAAAAAGGAAAAGGAGAAAAAGGAAAAGGAGAAAAAGGAAAAGGAGAAAAAGGAAAAGGAGAAAAAGGAAAAGGAGAAAAAGGAAAAGGAAAAGGAGAAAAAGGAAAAGGAGAAAAGGAAAAGGAAAAGGAGAAAAGGAAAAGGAAAAGGAGAAAAGGAAAAGGAAAAAAGGAAAAGGAGAAAAAAAAAAGGAAAAAGGAAAGAAAAAAGAAAAGGAGAAAAGGAAAAGGAGAAAAGGAAAAGGAGAAAAAGGAAAAGGAAAAAAAGGAAAAGGAAAAAGAGAATCCACTCAAAATATGATGACTATGATGATGCTTTAATGCTAAACTGGACATGGCTTTCATGATACCAGACTTCTGCATTGAAGATTTAAAACTTAAGTCATTCCAACACTTTTTTATGATACATACATGTATGCACTTACAGGTATGATATATAAAGTGTTATATCATATGTATGCATTTACATGCGATATAACAGTTTTAACAGTAAAATTGATATCATTCATTACTCAGTAAGAAAAAAATAATGATACAATGAAAACACCTTTTTATTATTGATTTATTTAACTAATTTCCTTATTTTTTTCTCATTTGTTTTTATCGTAACATTTCAGCTGCTGTACCTAAGGTTTCCTCAGGTACCTGGGTCATGTAATGTAGAAATGTACACTAAATGAACAGAGAAATAGAACAGTAGCATAAATTCCCCAAAAAGTCCTTCAGATGGCATAGGTAAGGAAATGATAACATGGCAAAAGCTAAAATTGTAGAAAAAAAATAAAAGAAAAGGGAAACTTATATAAAATAAAAAAAGATCATTGTTTAGTAGTAACGAAAACCTCTTCACAGAAATTCAGACACTTTCTCTTTTTAGTCCTTCTTTCTTATTCTTGGGTATTCTGGATCTTATAAACACAGAAATAGCTTAACATTTGATATGATTGAAAGGTTTCAATGCTTGTTGGTAGACACAAGCTAAACATAATACTAACAAAAAAAAAAACTAAAAGAAATGTACATTAAATGTATATCCTTGCAACTTCTTGGGTAACATTTTCCGCTGGCATGAAGTGGAACCATTATATTGAATCAGTTGCTATGTCTGCTACTAGCAAAGTTAGTACACTGTGTTGTACTAGACAATTTTTCTTGTCAGAAACTATAAGTCTACCATTTGTCCATGCATTGAATATTGTTGCCACATCTGATCTGATGTTTCTGCTATATATGTAGAGATTCTTGATAAAATACAAAGAAGAATCTACAATGTTAGTGGTGATGATCTGGCATCTCAGCTTCAGTCACTTTCCCATTGCCATAACATAGCTTTCCTGTACCTTTCCTATAAATATTTTCATGGTAATTGTTCTGATGAGCTTTCTTCAAATGGCTAGAGGTAACAGTAAGTTCTATGCTAACAGTTTCTTCTTTCATATTCTTGCTTATGGAACTCTTTTCTGCCTACTTGCTTTCCAGTTGTTTGATCCTAAAAAATTTAAATGCAATGACAATAGTTATTTTCTGTTTTCTTTATTCTTGTTCTTTTATTGTTCACTTTCCTTAATAATGTTTATTTTTTTTCCATATTCCCTCTCACTCAGTAACCCCTTGCATCTTAAAACCATAAAACCCTCAATATGTTCACTGTCTACCAGAGATCAAAGCCAAGTCAGCACCTGTTCTTTTCATTTAAGCAAAAATAGATTTCACTCTTGTCTTTGGACATGCATAAACCCAAGTTTTCTAAATTGCTAGCCTTACAGAAGCACATTGAAATAATTATTCCTTCTACAAAGTCAGTATCTTAGAAGACTTAGTGGCTCAGGAAAAATCCAGGCATGTTCCGAGATTTTTAAGATGTTAGTGATATCTAACTCAGCATTCCATTAAAAACATTTGGCTAGGAAAATGAAAAACAAACAAAAAAGTAACATCCTTAGGAGGTTACATGCTTGCATAAGATTCCTCTCTCCCCCCCAATTTCTAGAATTGACAGCTTGGCATTAAAACGAAAAAAAATCTTTTATTTACACATTAAAGAAACTGTTGCTTTGCTTTCTAACAAAGAATAACATCAGCTTCATCAATTTTCAATTTAAAGATAAGCATGTCTGGGTTTAGGATGAGCAGATAGCATTTTAAATTTTATAATTTGCAATTCAGCAAAAAATTAGTTTCACTATCATCAAGGAAAAGTAAAATTTCCAGAGCAACAAACTGCTGCCACTGATGATACTTTAAAGTATGCAATCTTTTTATAAAACATCTTAATGACTCTTTCTGATGTGATTTCATTCCTTTTGCTAACTACAAAAACTAAGCTAGTATTACATCCTTGCTATGATTATTTCAAGGTCCTCCCAAAAAAAGAATGTTGGAGAATAACTATCATTGGCCAACAATCAGACCAAAAAATACGGTTTGATGATTAAAAAAATAAAATAAAATAAAGAAAATAAAAACATTAAAAAAATTAGAATTGTAGCTCAGATACCGTTTAATCCATTGTAACTGAAATTTTTTTTAAAAGTACAAATTAAGGAGAGTAATTCATTGACTTTTAAGATAATTAAAATCTGAAGTATTATTGCAATCACAATATTATTTCCATCCAAGGCTTTTATTCAATTACATTTGAATTTAATCTTCATCTGTATAGGAAATTATTTTTTTATCCATTTTATTTTTTTTTTTTTGGAAAAATTGGATTAACTTAATTTTATGCTTTAAACTGATGTGAGTGTTATTCTGTAAATTTACTAAACTTAAATGAATCTCTAATTGATCTTAAAGGCCTTTTATCTTTTTCATATTTAAAAAAAAAAAAACAAAAAAAAATGAAAGAGAAAGATGAATTATTTTCTATTAAGTTGAATGAGCTTTAAACAGTGTAACTGTCCCTGGTAATTATTTACACTGTTTACCTGCAGATTATTGTCCTCATCTTCGTCTGTCTCTGGTAATATTTTAAATTTGTCTGTCATGTACAGTCAATTAAAACTTTTAGAGATTTTCCTGATATCCAAAATTATTTAGATAATTAAGATCTTTTACAAGAAAAATGACATCACTAATATTATACTGACCAAAACTAAAATGCATTATTGAGCTACAATTTACAAGCCCCAAAAGCCAGCATAGTGTCTTCATTTAAAAAAAAAAAAAAAAAAAAAAAAAAAAAAAAAAATAGAAAATTTTTTTAAAAGGCAACAGATATTAACTTATTTAAATTACTTTCAGTTAGTTAACCTTTGCTATTGTTTAAATGATCTTCAGATATTTTAAAAGAATAAAAATGAAATTTAAAAATAAAAAACAATTTTAAAAAATAAAAAAAATATACAAAATTTTTTTTAAACTTAAAAAAAAAAAAAATTAACATAAAATAAAAAAAAATAAAAGGTGTAGATGAAGTGAGGTAACTGACCTCTGTTAAATCCTGCACTTGTTTCTTACACTTGATCAAATCTCTCTCCAGTTCCTTGACAGAATCGATACGTTTGTGAGCATTGTTCAGTTGACCTTCCAGTAACGTACGCGTTTCTGCCAAGATTCTGTTGTCCTCCCGAAGTTCCTGTCCAAAAAAAACCCAAAAATAATTCAAGACACAAAACAATTTAGCTCAAGTGATACTTTCTAAGAGCTAAGATATAAACTTAAGTGCAAAAAAAAAAAAAAAAAAAAAAAATAATAATAGCAACAGCAGTACATAGGATAATTTGCCCTTCCTTCATTTGTAGAAATGGACTTAGATATAATAGGTAAAACAGTAATGTGGATATGGCATTCATAGTATAGAGACATTATTTAACACTATTTGAGCACAGAATTATAGTGGGAACCAGTAAGATAGGACACTTTTTTGGAAACAGTAACAATATACCAGGAATATTTGAATTCTGAACAGACATCAACAGCACATGAAAACTGCAGATATTGACAAGTGATACAAGAATGGGACTACCAGTGACTGACAAGGATGATAACCATTCAACTGAGGGAAACAAATCAAATCCCAGTTCAACACTGGTGCAACTCAATCTATCAGTTAACATCCTGTACAATGTATCCTCCGTCCTGGGTCTGACAATAAACTACATACACATCCTGGGTAAGATGACAAACTATGTCTGATCAGGAGGTTTTGAGGAGCATGGAACCACCTCTTAATTGCTGGTGTTCCCAGGTTCACTTTGACCTGGGGGGTGGTAGCACCTGTTAGGGTCCCAGCTATGGGTAAATTGTTAACTCCCAAACTAAGGTCAAAACAATATGAAAGTGTAAAATTAGGTTTTAATACCAGAAATACTTTGTAAAAAATTATTACCAGCTATACATTTGAAAAAAAAATATGTATCCTCCATTTCATAAAATTTTGTCATCATTGACCAATAAGTGTACTGTCATTAATGTGTGTCACATTGGTCAAAGAATATTGCCATTTGATTATGAAAGATTAGCATCATCTCAGCTGAATAATTTTTTCAGATCTTTCAGGCAGAAGGCAGAGTTCATGCATAAAAGAAATCACATGAAGTTATAAATCCAGCTTGTCTGTTCATTCATTGATATACAGTTGGCCACTTTAAAGTATTCTGAAGAGTTCAATGTATTTGACAATAGGAAAGAGTTCAATGTATTTGACAATAGGAAAGAGTTCAATGTATTTGACAATAGGAAAGAGTTCAATGTATTTGACAATAGGAAAGAGTTCAATGTATTTGACAATAGGAAAGAGTTCAATGTATTTGACAATAGGAAAGAGTTCAATGTATTTGACAATAGGAAAGAGTTCAATGTATTTGACAATAGGAAAGAGTTCAATGTATTTGACAATAGGAAAGAGTTCAATGTATTTGACAATAGGAAAGAGTTCAATGTATTTGACAATAGGAAAGAGTTCAATGTATTTGACAATAGGAAAGAGTTCAATGTATTTGACAATAGGAAAGAGTTCAATGTATTTGACAATAGGAAAGAGTTCAATGTATTTGACAATAGGAAAGAGTTCAATGAATCTGACAATAGGAAAGAGTTCAATGTATTTGACAATAGGAAAGAAAAAAGGGTTAAGATTTTGTATGTATGCATTTTTGTCTAATACTAGAATTCATGGCTAAGACCTGCCACATTATGGCAAACCACCCTTATTCTCTTTGTATTCCATTATGAGATGCAAGTTCCACTTGGGCAGTGTCTTTCCACAAACTGCTACTTTGTGAAACTGACTCCCAAGTGATGGTTCCCCAATCACTATAATCTTGGCTTGTTCAATAAATCCAGCTTGTCTGTTCATTCATTCTGTGTTATATATATTAAGAATATATTATATTCTTTGTAATCTTGACTTTCAACATGGAGGATATGTAATGATTTTGAGGGACATATTTTTTTTTAAAAGTCACAAAATATGGTAAATTTTAAGCATTTGGTTTTTAGTTTTAATTTTTCTTTTGTAACATTTATATTTTTGACACAAAAAGCCAAGCATCGCAGGTCATACTGGTATTTCTAGTAGAAAGCCATTACTGGACAAGCAAGTTTTTGAATCAGGATTTCCACTTAGTCACCTGTCAAAATTAATGACATTCATTTAGTTTGCTATGTAGATCTTGATTTCCAGTTGAAAATATGAGTAAAACCATTCTTCCTTATATTAAGATATTTATACACAGTAAAATCTGAGAATTTGAATACAGGAAGACTATATGGCACTGAGCAAATATTTTTTTACTTCAGCAGCCATCATTAACCAAAACCTGTGGCTATAGTGTTTTCAGGGTCTTAATTCTGGTAACACTCACACAAGCAACCCCACATAATGCAATGAAGATGTCAAAGTGAGTAAGTGTTAGATTCTGTCAACATGCACATAGCATTTATCAAGTTTAGTTTAGAATGCCACAAATCCATATTTATAGAACACAAAAGACCAGAGAATGAATTTATGTAAGAAATTGTATATATAAATATTTTTTATTTTTATCCCATTTAGAGAGATGTTAGATATGGAAAGTATTTTGACAATATGCAATTTTTTAATCTTATTTAAATAATCTATGAGGAGTACAAATTTTATCATGACTTTAAAAATGGACATTTTAAAAAGAGACTATATTCACATAATATATACAATTATATTAAAACAAAAGAGGAGGAAAAACAAGGATAAGAAAAAATGTATTACTCATGGTAAAGTGGTGAAGTAAAAAATACATAAAAAAAGAAACAAAAAGAATGCTTAACCGGTTATCACTCCTCACTCTTCAGAGCTCAGCCAAAGAGCAGAAGGATCTTCAGTGCATAATTGTTCTTTATTTAGTGATTTCCTTCCTACCTATAATACTAGTATTTTTTGTTTTAAAAATAATATTCTTCTTTCTTTTAAAATACAAAATATTAACATTGTTTTCTTTATTTTTAGACTCCAAAGCCATCTTTTAGCATGTAAGAAAAAGGTATTACTCATCATAAAGTGGTGAAAAGCGAAGAAGCTAAATGGTTTGCTTTAAAAATATTTTTTTGATTAACCACTTCATAGTGGGTAATCTTTCTTTCTTATCCTTGATATTTCTCCTCCTTTGTTTTAATATATTTGCATGCATTATGTGAATATATATTCTTTTAAAATGTCCATTTTTAGAGCCATAAACAATCTTGTTTCTCAGTTTAGTAAATATCTCTAATTAAAATTAGAATTACGAGATGAAAATTTTGCAATGTTTAACCTTGGTGCCTGAAAAAAAACAAAAAAAACAAAAAAAAAAAAACAAAATGGTCTGTCAAAAAGGATGATTATTCACTGAACACCACGATTACTGTATACACTTTTGACTCTCAGCAATGTCTATTTTAAAAAGTGATGATTAGAATTTTAATAAAACCCAAACATATAAAAGTGGATTTATACATTTTCTTTATTCTTGAGAACAAAGATATTAAACCTTATTTATTCATTAGATTGCTTATTTACAAGAATAATTTTATATTTACAAGAGTATAAAAATATGTGAACCAACTATAATCATTCCGCAGTGGACTATTCAAAGATTTTGTGGCTTCGTGGGGAGTACACCTCAGATTTCGCTGCGCGTATGTCCCATCAGGGAATGGCATAATCGAGCGATGTCATCGGAGCATCAAAAGAATCGCTGCTAGGAAGCAGTGTTCCATAATGGAGGCAGTGTATTGGCACAATGTTACTCCGAGAGACAATAATGTATCGCCTCAACTGCGCCAGCCAACATGATTTATCAGTACAAAGTCCGCCACGAGGCATTGACGCAACGCGCTCAACTGAACGGATAAATGAACGAGCGCCGATGACTTGGGCGATCGCGTGGGGGTGAAATTCCACATAGCCGTGTACAACCCGGTACCGGGTGGGGCATGTCACTGGACTAAGTAACTGCGTTCTGTGCTGGTTGATGGCATACCAAGACACATAAAGGACTTGCGTCACTATGTAGGTACAGATACGTCAACAAGTGACACTAGCAGTGAGTGCTCAGAAAGTGAACACATAATTACCATCGGAGGTAAGGCTAGCACCCCTTCAGATGGTGAAGACTCTGTGCATGAGGTTGTCAGACCAGAAGAATCCTCAGAAGAAGAATCTTCAGAACATTCTTCAGATGATGAAGACTCTGCGCATGAGGTTGTCAGATCAGAAGAAACCTCAGAACGTAACACACAATCTCCTCCAACAGTCGCCCCGCTCCGGAGAAGCTTAAGAATAAAGAGGCCCACCCATGAGTGTCACTTATGTGACAGGGGGGAGTGTAGTGAATGAGATAATCAAGTACCCAGGAAAAAATTCGGGCAGTTTTGGCTACGGCGTTTGTGAGTTATTTTCCTGACGTGTTACAAGTGATTTTCTTTCGTTGTGTTGTGAAAGCCACAAATTTGCTTTGAGAACGCTTACACTTCAGAAATACTTCTATATTTTTATAAAATAATGAATAAAAAAAAACAAAAAAAAAACTTGTTTTCATAGTTGTGGTAATAAAATAAACACATCCCAACTCCCCTCTTGCTTGTAACCATCCATCACAAATGTTTTTCAACATTGAAGTAGAATGAGTAAAATAAAGCTTCATAAGCTTCTACCTATATTACAATAGTTATTTCTTTATAAAATGGTAAATAATAAATATTGCATTGTACTTGATTCACATATTTTTATAATCTTGTAAATAAACATTGTCAACAGTGTATACAATAATACGGAATAACTGTCCTTTGGACACGCCATTTTTGTTTTTTTTTGCAGGCACAAAAGTTAAAGATTGTCAAAGATTTTATAGCACACTGTTATAAATTATAAAGATTCCATTTATTTTTTATTTTTTAACATTGGCTAATGACCAAAATTCCTTTCTCACTATTTTATGCTGCTATGGATAAGACAAATGGACATTTTTGTTTACATCAAGTTGAATAAGACAAATACTATTAGCAGAAAGTTAAAAATCATAGTGATTCTTGTATGCAGTATTAGAAAAAGTAGTACATGCAAGTCTGTTTTATATTAGCAAAGATGTAATATAGCATTGTGGATGGAAATAAAGCAAATTGAAAAATTATTGCATTTTTATTTGAATTTTGGTATATGTTTTTTTGGGATTTCCATTCCCTTCATCAGACAAAGATATACATCAATTTAATTTTTAAGTTCAAACACAAAAATAAAATACAAAACTTAAGGACAATAATTCAAAATTTTTAGTAAGAAGTCCTCAATTTTCAAACATCTGTCAAATAATGATCAGTGTAAACAAAAATGTAATTTTTATTGTTTCTCTATCATTGACAGGACAGACACACCATACAAATTGGTTATTTAAGAAGGGTTCTGGATTGTTAAGAGTGAGCCTTATTTAAATAAACAAGTTAAATCCTAAATCTTGATTATGTAAAAATAATTTTATAGAATCAGAAGAATCCTATGTCATGGTAACCCCTTCTCCTTTTCTTTTTTCTCTTCTCTCTTTAAGAATTTTGAATTATCTTTTTAAGAATTTTGAATTATTATACATTACAAATCTGTATTGTACTTTTGCATTTGAACTTTAAAAAATGAATCAATGCAAATTGTTGGCTGATGAAGAGAACAGAAGTCCAAATACATATAGCAATATTCAATAAAAGACATTTATGTCCAACACAGTGGGTACATAAATGATGTTCTTTTGTTCAAGAAGTAATTACAGTTAATTTTTATAAAATATTTTTGTTTAAATAGAAAGTTGACTTTTTATATGAAAATATCCTGTCATTATCAGAATGGTTTTCACTCTTTTATGCAAATCAAATGTCACTGAATGAAAAAAAAAAATAAATAAAAAAAAATAAAAATAATAAAAATAAATAAAAATAAAATTAAAAGATCTGCTTACATCAACACGAGATCGGAAGAACTCCATCTCATTCAGCTTTTCTTTGTACTTGGTGATTTCATTTTCATAACACACTACTTGACTGGCCTAAAAAATAAAATAAAATAAATAACAGATTGTAATTCAAATTTTATTGAACATAAAATTGCAGATAAATTTAGAGAATATCAGTCACTTTTCAAAAACATAAAATATTAAATACAAATGTAATTTGTTCATAAGATTTAAAAAAAAAAAAATCAGAAATGTATTTAAACAATTCCCAATAAAGTAATAAAATAACTCCTCCCAAACACTTAATGAAAATTACTCTAATATTCCCCCAAAATATATACACATTTTGTTAATAGCAGCCATGGATAAAAGATAATTAAATAATTTACAATAAAGAATAAATGTTACATTAAAGTTTTGTGGAAAAAAAAAGAATTAGATATTTGATTAAATGATGCTTTAAGTATACAAAAATTCTGCTTAAAAAAAACAAAACAAGGTATAACTTCCATTGTTGAGAGATTGAGTTGCAAATAAAAATCCTTGGACAAAAATTCTTGTTAGAGCCCTTAATATTACAAGGGTCATTAGTTAAATTGTCTTCAAGGTATCCTCTCCTTAAAATGAACCAGATCTGGTAAATACGGTGATATTCAATAGTACCTCTTTATCAAATCTATCTACAAAAATGTTTCATTAAGACCTGATATTACTGTAAGAATGCAGAAGTCATCCATTTTATTAAATCAAATAGAGAAAGAATGCCTAGTACAAATGATCTTAAACATGTGTATATAGTCTCTAAAAAACCTTGTATTTTATAAAGATAGTTTAAATTGTGACCATTGTGAACTCATTAATCTATACTTTTCTATCTTTTAAAAACATGGCATTTCCTGTTTCTCATAACCCTGGAAAGGTCATTTTGCTGAATAAAGTAACATTAGGAAAAAAAAAACATTAAAAAGGGAAATAAATAAATAAAAACTTAGAGTGAAAGAATTTTATTGAAAAAGAATGAACCAGACAGATCTCTAAACTATGGCATGCCACGTCATCCTTTGCTCATATTTGAGACAACAGTTCAAAGAATGAGACAGACCAAAGTGACAAGGTATTCAAAGAAAACTGTCATGTTTTTGCTGTCACCAATCAAAAAAAAAAAAAAAAAAAAAAAAAAAATATAAATAAATATAATAAAAATTACTTTCTTCTGACTTAAGCTGGCAGATATACAGGGTGGGTAACAAAATCCTTGTGTTCAGTTTATTTACTGTTGATTTTTTTTCTTTTTTCTAGATTTAATTTGATAACATGGCTGATGTTAATTTATTTATATTATAGAAGAATGGCTCACAGTGTTTGTGTTTGGATATATGAATGTAATAATAAAGATTGGGGAAGCTTTGAGAAAAATGTGAAAACTATTTTTGAAGAGGTTCAATAAATGTACTCCAAAATTCTCCTGGGAAGAAAATTTCTGAATTAAAAATTTAGTGAACAGTTGATGAGATATGGATCAGACACAGCATGATTTTGAAATCAATGATAATTTGATTTGAGGTATTGAATTAACAAAAAAAAAAAAAAATGTTACAAAATAATTTCTCTGAATTTTTAAAATGTTACAAGAAAAAATGTTTTCACAACATAAAATGACTGATTTTGTTACAAGAAAAAAATTGATTACATGTACCAATAAAACAAGAGACTCACTTGTTTTTAAAAGAAAATCCATTGTGATTGTATTATATTTTGTTTTTTATATTTGCAACTAAATTCTTTATTTTCTGATGATTTAACAAATTTTGTAGATCTCCAAAGCAATTACAAATAAAATCTTATCCGTAAAAGAGTTTGTACAAAACTGTTTAGACAACTGACAAACTGGTAAGCTACATTAGTTTGAAGCTCATTGAAACAAAAGGTAAAAAACATATTTAAGCCAGCAATACTGGCAGTATTTGAGAAAAACATCTAAATATTTTTAGATATTTTTGTTTTAAAGGATAAAAAAAAAAATAGCTAATTGGTTTTTAGCTGGTTTTTAAATTCTTTTAATAGTTATGCTTATTATTCTGAAAAAAAAAAAAAATGATATATAGATATAATTGCTCATTGTAAATGTTTTGGCAGTCTTTGCCAAAAAGAAATCTCCCAACTGCCATGCCTGCTCGCTTTCACTTCCAATATTTTCTCTGATTCTTACCATTGTTGTATACCATCATTTAAAGTGGGTGGTTGTCCTCACATGCAAATGACTGACATTCATAAAAAGGCTCAAGATCACGCTTGCACCTTGGACATCATGTAAATGGCAGTTCAGCAGGCCAGACACCTTGGGTACTTGGTATCAGGTAAGTGTGAATATCTATTATCACACTCCACCCCGATTGTATGATCACACAGGTGACAGTGGGAGGCTGGTTGTTTCACCCTAGCACTCCTTCACAGTGGGAGAGGAACTTCTTTCTCAGCAGAAATGTCAGATGTACTGGGGTCTTAATCAGAATCCACGGAATGAGGGGCGGGGACTCAATAAAGGTTGGTCCCATCTATCCCTTGCTCTCAGATGGGGTGTCACTACTGCCTGAACTGGAGCCTCGTTCATTACTCCATTGTCCACTGATGGCCTCAAACTGAGCTGTTGACGCACATATTCCACATGCTGAGGCATGCTGTTGATGACCGCCAATTGTGGATTGGTTATCTAGGTAACATGGCCTAGTTTAAATTTTGATATGCAATGTTCCTGTGGATTTTTCATACAAACTGCATCCCTCTCTCTGTACTGGGTCAATATCCCTTGGTGGTCAGGTGAGGACACAACATAAATTGCTTTTAATTGAATCTGGTACGAATGAGGCAGACTGAAGGCTCGGACGAAGCAGGAATATCGTCCTTGGGTGTGATGCTGTACCAATATATGGTCTCCATAGGATACCATTTCCAGATGTGCAGTGTGGTCGGAATTAGACACCCCATTCATCCAGGAATTGTCTGAATTGCTGATTACAGAAGGCAGTGTCAATATCTGCCTAGAGCTCGGATGGTGGGGGGGGGTGCACATTCGAAAAAACACAAACTCCAACTGCCGGATCACGGGTGCAGGGTTTTGCTGAAGCAACAGCCACCAGAATGAAAACTGCGTGGTTCTGTAATTGATCAGTGTCAAAAAGTGGCAATCGTTGTAGTGCATGATACCCATGCCTAGCTGCTTCCACATTTCACGCACACAGAACCACTTTCAACACAGACACAGCCTGCTTAACTCCAGGGTGTCCACTGTGTTGACAAACCTCAGTCAGATGTGCAGGGCTCAGGTTACCCGCAGCAAAAGCGCACACTGGCTGCATAGGTTTGATCTTCTGCACATCATTGAGCCACCTCAGTGGAACCCTAGTCAATAAGTCTGCTCAGTTCTGGTCGGAACTTATTAGTGCAACATCAACCAAAAGGTTGTACTCCTTCACAAGTGAGGTCAGTGTGCCCAGTCACTGCCTTATGAGCATCTCGCTTGTGGCTTTGGTGTTCAGTGGAGACTTGCCTGTAAGGGCATTGGTCAACCAGTGATACACACAGAGGGAGTGTTTTCACATGCAGCACTGGCCCACCACGTGAGTGCAAATATCTATCATCACAGTAAAACAAAAAAAAAAAAAAAAAAAAAAAAAAAAAAAAAAAATTGGTCAGAGAAGTGATATCAACTGACAGAAATAATGTTTTTGGTTTCAACTAAGACACTTCCCTTTGTGGGATGAAAAAATATTGACTTCTCTGTAGTTGTCATGTAATGCAAAATAAATGCATATGTAGAGGGATGCATGTTCAAATCCTGCCAGCGAGCACATTCTTTAATTTTTTTTTTTTTTTAATTAAGTTTTCTCAAATGTGCAGGTCAGATGAAATAAAAACTATTAAAAAAAAAAAAAAAAAAAAAAAATGGGATGTCCTACTCAAATACAGGTATCCACTAAAAATAATGTTTGAAGTAATAAATACATATGATCTTGAGTTACATACTTAGAGTTTTGAATTGTGGTAGTTCTGCTGCAAGCAAGAAACTGGCCATGCATTGCCTATGATAGACGAACTAATTTACATACCTCATAGTCCTTTTGTTATGTAGAGAGAGAAATTCATTGTTACAGAAAATCAAAAATTTTCTGTAAGTATAACTTTTTCATAAAAATTAACTTAAGTCTATCTTAGGTTAGTTTAATTTTTTTTTTTTTTTAAATAATCTCTTGTAAAGTTTCATAAGACAAATATTTCAACAATTTTCTTCACATCACTAAGACCATTTAGCAATGTTTAACCTTTGTGTCTGCAATAAACAGTGTGTCAAAAGGATGGTTATTCCCTTGACACGGCTATTACTGTATGCCCTTTTGACTCTCTTGGAAATGTTTATTATTTCAAAAAGAAATAATTAGGATTTTAATAAAACCCAAACATATAAAAGTGGATTTATACATTTTCTTTATTCTTGAGAATAAAGATATTAAACCTTATTTATTCATTAGATTGCTTATTTACAAGAATAATTTTATATTTACAAGTGTATAAAAATATGTAAAACAACTATATAATGAAAATAATTTAAAATTTATAAAAATGATTGAAAAAGAAAATTTAGGTAAACAAGTAACTAATTATAAATTTAAAAAAATGCATTTTTTTCATTTGTTCTTACAACAAATTCATTAAAATAGGTTGAGAGCATCTAGTCCTTTTATATATTTTGATAATTATGTAATTTTTTAATACAGTTTTTAATAATTTCTTTTCAAATTTATTTCTTTATAAAATGGCAAATAATAAATCTTTATAAAAGTCCACGATGCCATCACGTATTGATCTCCTCCATGTAGTTTGGCATTTTCTTCCCACGAGGATGAGCTGATGTTGGCAAGTGTGAGTGTGCGCTTTAGTTGGTCCTTGTAGCGCATTTTGGGTGCTCCTCGTGGTCTGGTCCCAATGGCCAGCTCGCCATATAGGATTTTCTTGGGGAGCCTGGAAGGATCCATCCTGTGGACGTGTCCTGCACAGCGGAGGCGGTGGTAGATGATAGTGGCCTCGACGTTGCTCAC